TCGAGCATAGTAAATAAATTGGATAGGTGAATCCTACTCCTTTATGATTTTAACCTTATTGATTCACTTTTACTAATTTGCTTGACTTTACTCCTATTACCCACCTGATTACTTGACTTGGCAATTTCATTTATTACACTCTTGTAGTATGAATTGTTAAACAACCTTATACTAATTACCTTTTCTAAGAGTCTGGAGGATGAACAAATTGCTTAAGTTTCATACGAACAATGTCGCACTGGTTTGGGTCTATAGTGCTTTTGGCAACTACATGGACGATCTCATCGGTTCTAGACGATCTCATCGGCTCAAGACGATATCACTGCTCTGACAATTTCATCGGCTCAGAATGTATGTACCTCGACCACTCAAGATATACCTTGATGGCTCAAGATGCTCTAGGGGCTCAAGGTTTTATGGCACTGTCTTCACCTTGTTCTTATTGAGGATTATCTTTTACGCCAGCTTCTCCTCATTGCCTTAGGCTGTTCGTATCTACTAGTGTCATTGCCTGCCTTATCGGCTGAAGGTTTAGTGATGACCATTAGTATCGCCCAATTATGCCATGATACGTAGACTCATTGTGTTAGCATTAGTAAGCTGCCTCTTACTCCAACCAAGGTAGTACTGTGCTGGCTCTAAAAAACAATTACCCAAATTCCAAATCCGGTCGTTTTTTAAAATTCTGAACAATTTATTGTTCAACTATCAAATTATGGATGACGAGCAAACCGCTCGGTCGCGGAAGTGTCGTGACGAATGTACGACCTTGTTATATTCTTAGGCCGAAGGATTAACCGGAAGGATGCCTTGCGCCTCGGGCCACAAGGTCCTCATGCGAAAGATTTGACATGGCACCTTCAATTTCTGGTGCTAGCGCGGTGGACTGGTTATGTAATTGCTTCAGATCATGTCTTCCTATACTTATTTACCTACTTTCGATATTGCCCTAATTTTATTTTATCAGTCATACAAATCCGAGTTACACTAGTAGTTCAGTTCTCTGTGAGTCTTAGGAGAAGGAATATGGACTAAGTAGGTATTGCTTCATTTCTTTACATCTATTTTAGCTACTCCTTGGATGTATATTATTTGCGAACATCATTAGTTATTGATCTTGTGAGTGTTAATCCTCTCCTGGTAATTCCCACTATGTGAAGATGTAATTCCTTTACCACTTATTTAGCCTCTCCATATATTTGTTCCATTCGTCTACTCTCCCCACGGACGGATGGCTTCCTGCCAATGATGACTTCCCCGTCAAACACACCCGGCAGTAGCGATACCCGTGCAAGAACCTTCATGAAGATAGCCACCGTGAACATCAGAGGACTATGCTCTCAACAGCGACTCGCGGATTTCGATGCTAATGTCAAGAACGTGGGATTTGCTGTAATTGGACTGGCGAAACCCGAAGATCGAACCGTGGGTGCAATCAACTTGGATCTAGTTTTGTGCTCTACAACAGTGGACGTTGTGACGGTGC